TTATTATTATTATGTGGTATCGATCCAGTTATGGTCGAAAATCTTGAAATCGGGTGAAAATGGAATGTATGAAAATCTTTCGAATGCGGTTGTCGAGCCTAGGAGGATTGGGTAGGAGTTTTAGTGACTGATATCGTAGTCCGAAATCGTAATTGATTGGGATAAGCTTGTGACATCTTAGGGTGTGGGTGTGGGTGTGGGTGTGGTGTGGGTGTGAGTGTGGGTGTGGTTTGTGGATACTTCTATTATCAGCATCGACACGCACACCCTCAAGGTATCCGGAATTCCGTCCAGGAATTACATCCAGTTATAAGCCTCAGCCGATGAGAGTGATACCAAGGCTGGGCGATTCCGGAATCGATAGATCTGTTGTAAATGATTCCGGAATCGGATTGTGGGGTGGTTGAATTTAATTCCGGAATCGGTGGAATAGATTCCGAGACGGGAACTGATTCCGGAATGTTGAACATCGCGGAATGGGATGTATTCTCGTACATGTGGGTGGAATGTAGTGTGGAGTATGGGCGTGACGGTGGGTGTGGGTGTGAAGATAGGTGTGAGAATGGGCGCGCATGTCGAGTGCCAATGCGGATCTGAGGATCTGCCTAGCTGGATGTGTGTGTTTGGGTGTTGCTATGGGGTATGGGTGTGACCCTTCTAATCTCATTCACACACTGGAACGCCTACACCACACCATCTAGCCACTAAAGACGTGCAGCACGCTTAAAAAACGATGTGGAAGCAGCACCAAAGGAGATGTTAGCGTTTAAAGCAGTGGCGGAATTGGCCACCATCATAAAATCTTTTCACTGAGTGGCACGACCACTCCACGCTTCATGATTGACAGGGCTTGGAGCGGGCGCTCGACGCTCGCGCCTAACGGTAACTGAAAAAACTGCTTTCACCAATTTTGTCCTTATATTTGTTTCTCGATGATATTTCTTGTAAATGGCGTGTCATTTCTGAATATATATGTATGTGTGTGATGGAGATGCACTATAGGGTGTCCAGAAAAGTAACTCAACAAAGAAAAGTTTGAACACATATCTCCGCCATATTTTGACCAAATGTGCTGATATTTTTCCCACTGATAGAGGAGTATGCATAGCTCATGTTGATAAGAGAAATGTTGTCAAAAATTGATTTGAAGTAGTAGAATTAACTTCAACAAAAACCCGTAACCCTTCATGAGTTATGAAAAACCAATGTTGCAGTTTTGTCAATGGTTGAACTTTCAGAGTATACTGAGTAATAAGTCATGTATCTGTAGTATTAGTATGAGACCAAATGACACTAATGTGAAGAAGCAATGGAAAAAATTATATGTCGTTTACTCTTGGCTAAAGGAATCAATATGTTGTTTTTGTCATAACTCGGAAAATGTTACAGTTCTTTGTTGAAGTTAGTTCTACTACTTCAAAACAATTTCTGACAACATCTCTCTTATCAATATGAGTTATGCATACTCCGCTATCAGTGGGAAAAATATCAGCTCCTTTAGTCAAAATATGGTGCAGATAGATATTCAAACTTTTCTTTGTTGAGTTACTTTCTCGACACCTATAGTCTCACTTCGATTGTCTCATGAATAGGAGATGCTTATTACATCGAGCATGTGACATGGTATACGTCTCATATACATACTATCAAGGACAGAGTCGACACGGGGTAACCTACTCCTGGTTCCATATATGACTAGCCAAGCAGCGGACGAAACTGAATGGGAATGGAAACCTACCTTTAGAATATCGGCCTGTTTCATAGAATATCGCTCGGAATTCCTAGACCAGTTCGGCTGAAACACTTCATGAAACCTGGTTGGTGGCAGTGGCCATACTAATATTTGCCTTTTGGGTTCCTTGGGCTTTGGCAATATTTCAGGCCACGGTTCTAATGTTTGTGTTTTTGCCTCTTGGAACTCTGTGTATTTCTCAGTCGGTTGAGGTTTGCTTCGACAGCAGCCCATCGAACAGTACTAGAATCACTATGATCTAAACGAAAGAATTAGTTACTTTGTTTTGATGTCTCGACGTTTTCCACGTAGTTCTCACATCTGCATATTTAACTGTTTCGGAGGATTTAGCTTCTTCGTCGGTACTCGACTCCTTGTCAGCTGCTTCCAAACGAATTTGCGAACTCATCTCTTACCTTTTTACAATTAAGATACACTTCTGCTGTTTAGACCATCGTTTTTAATCTCCTTTGTCTCGTCCTTTCGCGATCCTATATAACTACTAACTTTTCCTTTTGCGATGTTTTGTCAAACATAAAAGTCTACTGATACCAGCCTTCAAAGTACATCAGTCGTTGGTTATTTTTCTAACTTGTTTCGCGCAAAGGAAACTAGCTATTGAGGCGTACTCTCTGGGTACACAGACTAGTGTCCATGAATATAAACGAAGAGAAGGCATTCACAGCATGCAACTTATGTCGAGCATATCAATTGACAACGTATGCGATAAAAAAGCATGCATCTTCTTTGCCAAAAGATAAGGCGAGCCTCTTGATATTATCTTTGTAGCCAAGGCCATTGTCTTATCAGTTCAGTATCACCAACTACTGTTGTTGACGATCAGTTCTGTTTGAAGTGGGAAAGTGATATCAAAAGAGGGTGGGTGTGGGTTCGGGTAAGGGGCTGACGATAAGAACCACACCCCACTCGCACCCACACTTACACGCACACTCATATCCCCATCTAGAAAAAATTGAAGTGTTTTCAATATATTCAAATTTAGAAGAAAAGAAATAATAATATAATCTAATTTCATTGTTTTTATCAGGAAAAAGGCAAAAACCGTTCTATTAGTGAAGGATTTTTTTGAAGTAATGGAGCAATGTATGTACAATAGTATTGGGTATGGAAAAATATAATGGGAGAGAAAGATGAATGTAGAGATGAAATGGAATCAGTTGATGCTTGGGTTTTCTTTATTGTTATGAGTTTCGATTTTTGACAAAGGGACTTCGACGAACAAGCTTTTTGCAAAGATTTGGATTATTTCGACTACCAATGATAAGTTTTATTGTTTGAACTGGTGTATTATGAAATGCATCATTCCATAGTTGATGAATTGCTCGTTTATAAGGTGAAAAACGTTTTTCATGTATATCATGAAGAATAATAGAATTCTCTCGTTCTCGTCGTTTTAATAATTTTGCTTTAACTAATAAATCAATATTAGGAGGAAAATTATTATAATACATTGTTTTGGCAATGCGTAAAGCTCGTCTATGTTCATGAACAATTGCTTGATCTAATAATTGACGATGTAAAGCTAAAAATTCATTCTCATCATGTATCATAGGCAAGGGGAAAGAACAGATTTTTTTTTGATTTAAATGAATTTTAAATCAAAAAAAATAAAAAATTCAAAGGTGTGAGTAGGGGTGTAGGTGTGAGTGTGGGGTATGGATGTGGGCGGGTGTGGGTGTCAAGAGAAGAGACACCCTCACCCACATCTCTCACCCACACCCACAGCCAGGGTGTGGGTGTGGGTGTGGGTGTGAGTGTGTATAAGTTACCACGATAACCTAATTTTAGATTATTTCGAATGTTACTAGAACTCAAACTTATCAAGTGGCCTTAGTATCAGTTGAAATGATTCAATTTTTTGAACCAAAAACATGACACCTAAAAATCAACTTAGTGAATTAGTAGATACACGTCCAAATAGAGTGGGTGTGTATAGAGTTACCACGATAACCTAATTTTAGATTATTTCTGATGTTTCTAAACTCAAAATCTTATCAAGTGGCCTCAGTACTAGTTCTAGTGGATCCAAAGAGACTTCGAATCCTAACATGATACCTGAAAATCTACTAAGGAGACCGAAGTTCTTAGTAGATACACGTCCAAATAGCAATGGGTGTGTATAGAGTTACGATGGCAGTGTGTTGCAATGATTATTTCGAATGTTTTTCTGAACTCTATTTTGTCGCGGTGCGTTTCGTTGAGGTCGATCGGATGTCAGGTGTTTTTTTGTAGTGACTGTATTGTATGAACTGTCAATGGATGCTTTTGTTTGTGGTATTTTTACCTTACGATTTGTTTTTGATACATGGATAATTCATGATGGTTTGAGTTTGTTTGGGCAGGTGTTGTGCATATTGTTTTTTGGGCAGCATTGGTTGGATGGAGAATGTTGGTTTTGGTATAGTTTTGTTTTTTGCGGTGCGACGAAGTATGGTTTGATTTAGTTGTTTTCATTGTGTCAGGATCCGTTTTTGTTTTATTTTCTTTTTTAATCTGAAAAGTTATAAATGAATATGATAGTTTATTTCAAATGTGTTTATTATGCAGTAGTGGACATTTATTTAATATATGAAAATGACAATTTACAAGTAAATAGTTAGGAATGTCATTTCTGTGGTAGCATGTGTTTGATGAATTCCTGAAGAGGGTTTGTGTCGTTGCATGGTCTATGGAATAGAAAGGAATATGTTAAATAAGGAGTTGGTTATTGGTTGAATGCATACTTTGTAAGTATTTTGGACTCCTCCAGCAGCGTCAAATAACTTGTCGGTGGCTGTTTCTTCACTAGATAGTCAACTGCTTTGTCGAAGAAGGATTGATTCTGCCTAACTGTCAAGTAAACATTTTGTGTTGTTCCATGGTCTTTTAAATATTGATTGAAGTGTGTATTGAATTGTTGTTCGATTTTCTCTATTGTACTGCCATCCATGTTTGGTATATAAGGAAGTTGGAATTGTAGTTCGGTTTCTTCGTTCTGTTGTCTTTGTTTTTCTTTTTTCTTTGCTTTTCGATATTTGCCATAGTTGGAAACATGGTCACGTAGGATTTCATAATTAGATCTAGTATATGGTCGGTAGACAGCCGTTGGATCAAAATCATGTAGAATTTCTTGATAGGCTTCATTGAAGATAATGTCAGATAGTTGGTGTCGATTAAGTTGCCACTTCATTTGATACCTTTCTTCATTAAAAGTAACGTGATCGGAACAATATCGGATAGCTTTTAAGAAAGATGCTCGTAGCCATTTTCATGTGTCTTGTTTGATTGCAGGTTGAAGAATATCCCGAAATGATGATAGTAACATAATCCGTTCGAATGTTTCTTCATGATAAACACTTGTTCGAAGAAGTCCATTATTGTTAGTTATGAGAATATCACGAAAATAAATGGTTGATCCAATATCAGTTATGTTCCATATAGGTTGTGAAAATTGTGAATTAGCCATAGAAAGTAATATACCAAGTTCATCTTCAGATCTGTTCCGTGTAATAAATGCTTCATCTCGATATCTAGATTGGCGAAGAGAAATAGAATATGATTTTCTAATTAAAAAATAGGATAAATACCTGAAAAAGAGTTCATTCTTATTAATAAGATCTTCTAATATATCTTGTTGCCAATAAAATAAATAGATATAGACTAATGGAATAGTTAATGATGAACCAGAAGCACGACCAGCAGTTTGCCGATATAATGTATAATTGTAAATAAAATATTGTTCGTCGAGTACAAGACGAACAAGTTGAAGAATTGTACTAATTGTCATACCTTGAATAGAATGATCTGATGAGATGTAAGAGTGGAGGAAATGTTCTAATGCATCCATAACTTGTTGATGTGAAAAATTCATACATAAATCATTAATATTAAATGAAACAAATAGAGTGGTTGGTAGTAGATGACCACTTTTCTGATAGAATTCCATGTGATGTATAACATTATAAGCTTTATGTAATTTTTTACAATGAGTTGCATCATTAAAAAATAATCCAAGAAGACGACCAAGATAACGATTAATACCCATAATTGGTCCAGCATTACATACCATAATTGGTTGAACTGGAATTCCATCCTATATATAATTGCATGACAAGATAAACTATAGGATAGTGTTAATGAAAAAGATATACATACTTTATGTGTGTCTCATACGAAGTATAAATAATTCATTCGTACTGTAGATCGATTGATCTTGAAAGTCACAAGTAACGCTCGTCGTTACGACTCGCTTAGCCCTCGACTGAATCCAGTCCATTCATTATCTATCATTACCTTCTAGATTTCGTTGTGAAAACTATTGTTATATACACATACATATATGAAAAAACCGTATACTATTGTAGGAGACCACCACTTTCTAAAAATATTTCGCTTTTCAATTTTCTCCTAGGGTTTTCCAAATTTAACTGTAAGAGGTAGCTCACAGTTAGTCGCCGGTGTCAATATGAGCCACCATTCGCGACTGCTCGCTTTCGTATATGTCACCGGCATGGTTTGAAACAGTCCTTCACTTTCTTCTTAATCCTTTCGCTCTGTGATTTTTTGACAAATTGTTGATGTTCTTAACCATTGCATACAGTAACATACATTTCATTCTCATTTTTCTGCAATATCTCCTTCCGTCTGAAGCTACAACGTCAGCCCTTTGTCTGTCATTATCGCTATTCTTTGTTCGTAACTCCTTATCCCAGTCCATTTATCGAGGATCAAAACTCATATTACCGCACTGAGTTTTTCGCAGTTTTCAGACACTTTCAACCGGTGAGATTCGATCAATGAGCAATTTTATATAAATTCCGCCGGCCCAAGGTGTACCTTCGGCGAACCCGCCAGATCACGGGCTACTCGTTCGTCGGCGCTCCTTTAGGGTGCCACTCATGGCTAGCCCGTTTCATGTTTAAACCAACATTCCCAGTAAATCACCCTCTTTTCTTCGCATTCTAGTCGGGTCACGTTTGGCTTATTGTAAAACATTGTTGTATTTATAACAAAAAAATTCTAGCTGAGAAGTTCCAAAAACCATCGTTTCTTGTAATCAGTTCCTTACAGTTTTAATTGCCAGAGCTTTTGAAAAATCGATGTTCTACAAGCCATAGCTACCTGTAAATAAAGGAGAAAGGAAACTTCTAGACCGCTACAAGTACCGACTTCTCCCAATCTTGCAACAATTGATTGCAGCAAAGCCGTACAATAAGAAAATCTGACTAACTCAGTTTCCAGCTGAAAAAACTGGTTGAACAAAGCGGAATCGCGAAAACATTTCACTCACACAAACCTCAGCTTGATAGAAATCTCATTGGACAAGAGCGAGAGAGTGAAAAGATTTCATTGCTGAAGCTCTTGCGCAAAAACCTTATTGGACAAGACTCGGTCAGCGAAAACATATGATTCACTGGACTTCCTGCCTGTGAAAATCTGATTGGCCGCAAGCTCAATGTCGAAAGCGCCTGATTGGCTGGATTTTTGGGATGAAAAAATCCTATGGGCTGAAAGCCCAATATCGAAAACCCCTTATTGGCTGGATTTTTGGCAGGGAAAAATCCTATTGGCTGCAAGCCCAATATCGAAAACCACTGATTGGCTGAATTTGCGAGCTGAAAGAATCTCATTGGTCGAAAGGCCGATATCAAAAATCTCTGATTGGCTGAATTTCCAAGCTGAAAGTGCGTGATTGGACGAAAGGCAGATATTGAAGATATCTGAGCATTGATCTTTAAGTGGATGTTCTTTTGACCTTGCGACAAGCAAACAAGCAAACTATTTTTTTTCACATGACCCTCCCTTCAGTCGAGGGAATAAAAACAAAAGCTAACCATTCAGTCGAAGGTTAAGCAAGTCGAAGCGACGAGTATTACTTCTTCATAGACACTCACCCCAACGCTCTTGCCCTTAAAATTTCTATGCCTATACTCATGCACCAGTACTCTTACATTCTCAGTCACACACATGCGCTACCGGCTATATCATGGAGCCTATTACCCTACCATTACACATCTCAGGGTGAGTTACACTTTGGCAATAAGTTGTGCTACCATGTACAGATGAATGGAGGCAAAATTACAGCAACAATCTACACACATAACCCACATTTCACAGCCACATTCCCATACACACTCACATCTACGCACAGCGGCTCGCATACAACCAGATCCATCGAAATTCACACCTACATTCATACAGGCACTCACACATCTATATCAACATTCATACGTCTATCAGAATAACTACAACCAAAGCCTCAATTACGTCCTCTTCAAAATCTTTACATCAACACCAACAGCAGCTACAGACGCAACGACATCCATAGTCACTCTCACCAACAGCGGCACTAACAGCCTCAAACCCATCACACTCAAAGTCACACATACACTTCCACACATCTGCACCTACGCACTAGTGGGCCCAAATCAACATTCACAAACCTACACTCGCATGCATATTCCACACTCCATTTCCACTTCCACACAAACGCCATACAACACCCACACCCACACCCTTTTTTATGAAGATAACTGTAATCGATTAAAATCGATTTTATTTCAAGAAATGCAAATAATCGATGAGAAATTTAATAGATATTAATCGATTTTTTATAAAGATAACTTTAATCGATTAAAATCGATTATAGTTCTATGGATATGATTGTTTTTCATAAGTAAAATTGATTAAAATCGATTATTTAAGTTTAATTGATTAAAATCCATTACAGCTGCATGAATGGTAATATCTTCCCATAGAGAAAATCGATTAAAATCGATTATATTTCTATGAATGCTGAGTTTTTATAGAAAAAAATTGATTATAATCAATTATTTTTTTTGTAATCGATTTTAATCGATTTTTGAATGTAATTGCGCAATTTCGAAGAAAACAATTTAAATAGGACTTCCAAACATACTTTGAATGCCGAAGTTTGGTGCATCGGCAACTTCATAGTTTCTAAATACGAGAAGTAAGAAGAAGTGGTCGAAAAATATGGGTTTTGTGTTCGAATCTCGAGTAAGTCGCAAATTTTCGCGGTTTCATAAGAAAATCGATTAAAATCAGTGAGTAAGTAATAATAGATTAAAATCAATTAGTAAGTAATAATAGATTAAAACCGATTAACAAATGATGAGGGATTAAAATCGATTAATAGGTGATGAGAGATTAAAATCGATTAACAGGTAATGAGAGATTTAAATGGATGATTCAGTTGAAGTAATGCACGCAGATAAAAAGTGAAGAGTCATATGAGCACAGTTAATAGATGCGAAGAAATTAACGATGATTATAATCGGACGATTTTCATCAGATTTCCATCAAATTAAAAATCAAAATAAAATTGATTCTAATAATTTATTCTGTAGAAAATCGATTAAAATCTTTTTCTTCTTGATTAAAAATCGATTAAAAAGAGACGATTTTCATCTGATTTTAATCAAATTAAAAACCAAAATAAAATTGATTTTAATGGATTATTCTGTAAAAAATCGATTAAAATCAGTTGTTTTTTGATTTTTAATTTGATTAAAATCCGATGAAAATCGTCTCATTTTAATCGATTTTTAATCAAAAAAAATTGATTAAAATCTTGATTTTTTACGACTTTTTTTTACATGGGAAGAGCTCGCCTACTGCTATGTATTAAGAGTTTCTTAGGTACTTTGGATTCTTTCATGGTCTAAGTTCATAACGGACTTGCATTTCGTAAATCGAGTTGGTTCCCTGAGATTCTTGGACTCTGCGAACACCTTGCAATCCTTGAATTCCTTAAATTTTGTGAGTTCAGTGAGTTCTGTGAGTTCCGTGGATTCCGTGATTTCTGTTTAGCTGTGCTTGTTGATAATTATATTTTTTATTGATGTTTGAGTTGCGAATTCCTCAAGAGTTCAGAATTCACGGAACTTGGACGCGTCTCGTCTCATTAGTGTTGTCATTGCTCAAGTACTGCGTCCATGTACAACTCCTAATCAATGGGAAGCACGCGTTCATAGTTCCAATCGAAAACTGGATGCTGATCTTCAAGGTCGATTGAGCTACGATTCAGTCTATCAGCGTACACGAATTCTACAGGAAGTCAAAGTCTTGAGGGTGAGGGTGTGGATGAGGGTCTTTGTTGAATCCTTAGCCTTTCCCTCACCCTCTTCTCTGTATTGGGTAACATTGTCTCCGATGTATACATGGATTTTTTTCTGTTATCAGTTATAAAATTAGAAGACATCCTTTAAAGATAAATAATATTATTATCAGTAGGGAATAAAAGGAATATTTCTTATCAAGTTTGAGTAATGACTTTGTTTGTCAGTCTTTCACGACCCAAATGAAAAAAAATTATTTAACTTCGTATATAAACCATGGTGCAGTGTGTATGCTGTACATTGTTACATTCACTCCGACGAAACAAGCCATTAACAACAGATACGCAAAAAGGCAGAATAACAAGTAATTTGCAAATAAGTCAAATAAGTAAGCATGACTCAATCGATCTTCTTTCATAGCGCTCCTCTTTTCTTTTTGGGATTTCTATAGAATGATCAGCAATGTCACATGTCCCAAGTGTTGATGCGGCGTCTCCCGCAGAAGGTGCCGCATCTCCAGCGAGAGATGTGAGCACTCCTCCAAAATTCAGGATGTGTAACACTATTCGTCTCGTCAGAACTCTATGTGATAGGACATAGAGAAAATGAGTGGTCACTGCATTCACAATATGTGCTCGCCGTTTAGGTCACACTTTACCTATTTTGCAAGCTATCTCTCATATCCATCAGGGTAGTTCAATTGGAAAGTTTCAATAGGATTCTGTTCAGACTCATACCTAATTTTCTAGGTATTTTTTGACGTAGTAGTGTGTTTTAGCTGGAAGAGTCTTATAAATATTGTTGCAGGCAACGATATATTCCTGCAGTGTTTCCAAATGTATATGATGGACATGCAGGGTTGTTCCGCACAGATATGAGCTCTTTTGAGAGCAAAAATATTCGTTACGCAAACATGCACATCTTCAAAATAAATATCATGAAAAAAGCATTTTCTTTAGACGATTCAGTCAAATTCAAGAAGAATCCT